AATCACATAATTGCAACGGAACGTTTACTTTCTAGTATAAATAATAACGTCTATTTCATTTTACTTTCAGTTACACTTCAACACGACACCCTTATAATGTACAGCCGCATTCTCTCTCCTGTTTTATTTCTTCCTGTTTCCACACTGGCAGCGAGATGCGGAGGCGTGGGCGCACTCGTGGAAGGATCCCAGGGGAACGGCCGCGCTACTTATATAGGCAGGTATTCTACACCAGCACCAAGACTTTTACACGTACGAAAACAAACTACAGATAACGACTACAAATTGGCGGGGCTCTAAGTCCCCGCCAGTCTTCTCGGCTAATGAAGTGCAAGCGAGCACTTTCTTACGGCACTTTCCGCTCGCCTGTAATCCGCATCCTCGAGCAAGCCCGCACACACTGGAAAGATAAAACCCGCGCATTCACCACGCTGTGCTAAGCCGCTGTCGGATCCCCGCTCGCCCGCTGCCCGACCAGCACACTCGTATTTCTGCCTGTGGGGGTAGCTATTAGCAAGACTTAGCTCCCCCACCCCCTGCCACCTTGCCACAATGCGGCGAGGACAGTTATAGCAGCCCGCTTGTGTAATCCCAGCTCGTCATCTTTGTGCCCGGAGCAAATCCCCGCGTCCACACATTACACCCGTACGGCCTGCCGTGCCGGTGAGTATTGGGTTCACCACTTGACTGGATGCGGCCGATGTTTCCCTGCTATCACCACCGGCCGGCCACTAACCGCATCCACGAACACGCATCTCGCTATAACCGTATATATATATATATATATATAAGCGTATATATATATATATCCCCCATGATGCTTCTCTCCTCTTCCTCTTACTCTTCGTCCTCCTCCTCCTCGAGATAGAGAAAAGGAAAAGAAAAGATAGGGAGATAGTAAGAAAAAGAGAGAAAGGGCGACACACACGCACGCACGCACGCACGCAGGCCCGCACGCACACACACACAGACACTCGCATACATACACACACGCGCGCGCGCACGCACACACACGCACACACACGCACACACACACACACAGCACAACACGCACGAACGCACGAACGCACGCACGCACGCACGCACGCACGCACACACACAAACACGCAGCACGCACACACACACACAGCACAGCACGCACGCACGCACGCACGAACGCACGCAGGCACGCACGCACGCACACACACACACACACGCAGCACGCGTTCTACAGCACGGAGCAACTGTCGTATGCAAATGCGCTCACGTGAAACATTGTAAATCAACGCGAGTAATCTGTCGCCAAACAAATCTATAAGCAGGTCTGTTATATGCGGTCATCTTAATGTGTTTACCCAGAGGTTCAGTTCGGAAGATCGCGCAGGGGTACACATACAGCAGACACGGTCAATCAGCCATTTTCTCGCTTTTCAGTTTGCAATTAATTAATCGCGCTGCCAGTGTGTGCGTGTTCATGAGTATGTGTAGAAGCATTACTAGAAGTGCCCTTCGCCGACCGGCCCCGTACCTCGGCGTTCGATAAAGCAAATGAATAAAATTCATTCCGCCCACGCGTCATAAAAAACTCGTCGGGTGTCGGTGCGGCACAGGAACCACGGATGTGAAAACATTTGATCTGCCTGCCACCCGCTTTTACGAGTTGAGCAAAAATAGTTTTTTTTCAGACGTACCTTTGTTACATGAACAATTTTTAATTGGTTTCTGCACTTTACGGTATGACGCTGCCAGTGCTGTACCATCACTTCATGTATGTCTGATATTACCAGGAGTGTATAATAATATATTATTCCATTATTATACACTCCTGATATTACCACCTCCTCGCGGATTTTCTCCCCAAACAGGACTCCAAAACTGGACCCTCAAATTGTGACACTAACCGCAGCGTGGACGAGTTAGCAATATATACTACAACACTTTGCCTCGAGATGACTGGCGCGCACGGACACGACAATGCATCGTGCCAGCTTTTCACGCGAGAAAACCACTTAGTCACAGCGGTTTTACTAACAGACACTGACACCTGGCACCCAACCGCCTTTCTCCACGACGCGGAGCCGAGCAAAGTGAGTCTGATCTCCTTTGCCATTTGTCACCGGCGCTGTCACGGGGCCATGTCGAAGCGTAACCGAGCGATTTTCGATTTGCGAGCTGGTTCGTTAAGTCGTACATTGTCGCAGCGAGTGGCACACAGGAGAGCAGTTCTATCTCTTTTTCTCTCTCTCTCTCTCTCTCTCGGGTATGAAAATCTCGTCTCTTCTCTTCTCTTCTCATCGTCTCTTCTTTCTCTCCGTACTCTTCGTCTCTCTTCTCTCTTCTTGCTCTCATCTCTCGATCCTTCCTCTCGTTTCCTCCCGGTGCGTCGGTCTCGCCTGTCCCTCTCCGTCTCTCTCTGCGTCTGTCTCTCTTCTCTCTGAGTCCTCTCACCTCCGTCTCTCTCTCTCCTCTCTTTGCCCTTTCGTCTCTCATCGTCCTCTCTTTCTCTTCCCCCTCCTTCCTCCTCCGTCTCATCAGTATCGTCGTGCTCCTGCTCTGCGAGCTCGGTTCCATCCCTGCTCGTCGTCTGATCTCTCCTCGGATCTCCTCTCCTCTCTCTCTCTCTTCTCTCTTGGTTTCTCTCTACACCTCGTCTCCCTGTCTACTCTCTCCTCGCTTTCTCTGTTTGGCGGTCTCGCGCGTTCTGCTCTGTCCTCAGGACTCGAATACACGGCACGCGACGCACGGCATGGCACGCACAACGTACTTCTTCCCAACCAGTCTCTCTCGGCTCTGTTGGAGTCTCTCCTCGCCTGTCCTGGTCTACCTTTCCTATCCGCTCTCTCTCTCCGTCCATTTTTACTATGTTCACGCTTCAAGCTGATCATTGATCACAACCATTCACCCATTTTACCCAAACACCGCTATCGTGTTAGAGCAAGATGGAGTCGAATGCACATCGGTTACACCGATACTTGAAAAATGACGCACTGCACCGAAGATGACACTAATGTAAGCCAACATACACAGACTGTTGGGCTGGTGTGGTCTCAGACACGCGTACAGACACATATGCACGCACGCCGAGACGGCAGAAGGGCTGAACAAGTCAGATGAGACACACAGCACATCCACATACCGTGCACAACAAACGTACACACGCACAACGACGAACGTTAGCATTAGTACACTACACACACACACATCACACACACACACACAACACCACCACACACACAACCACAGTCCACACACACGTTCACAATCACACACTAACACGCACGCACGGTCGCGAGCGCGCGCGGCGACTGCAGCCGGCGCCTAGCAGTATATTCGGTATTTATATCAGCTTCACACTGGTGTTTACGATACGGTACCGCGAGGTAAATCTAGATACTGTCATTTCCCGGTTAGTTTGCCTGTCCCCCGGTCTAATTCGTCACCAGTTTGCTGCCCCACCATCTCATAACAGCGCGTCGACGCGCAGGGAGAAGATACTATACACTGCAGCGACGGGGGCTGCATGATATTGTCATACTGGCGCACTGTAGGTGCGAAACGCGATTGCCACCGAATCTACAGATGTATCGATATAAAAGCCACGCGCGAAAAAGGTAGCTGCGAAATAATCTGCTGGGATTGCTGGTGGTTTTGTGCTGCGTTGCCGCAAAAGCTTGCCACTGAAGCAAACTGCGGTCGAAGTGCTTGTCGTTGTCTGACAAGACAAAAAGATAAGTAGTGTAAGGACACGTTCGCGACAGGTAGAAAAAAAAGAAAAGTTGGGAAACATATTGCAGCGACAGGTTGGCGACAGGGCATGTTTGCTACGGATCTTCCCGTGATGATGACACACGGCAAACGCCGACGGCCAACCAAACCAATCCGCCGCAGATTAAGCAAAGAATATATCCGAGCTAAGAGTCTTCGCTAGTAATATGAAGAATTTCCAAGATCATCGTTCGCCGCCATACACCAACACATCCGTTGCGGATCTTGGAGGTATAATTCATCACGACAACCACATGTAGCGTTGTATGCCAACTCTATACACTATCGGTGTATATAGCAGCTGGATCTACTGGTAAATCCACCAGCTCAGCTTCATGAAACCGACACGAGCCTGCTTGACCGAGACACTGCTTGACCGATGCCTGAGGGATAATCTCGGAAGGACACTCGATGATCTGTCTAGCAGGCGACTGTCACGAACATCCAGTGACAAACATAGCTGTTAAGTATGTGACCACGGGAGGGCCGGTCGCTGTCCGGCTGTCCACTGTAGCGAGTTGCTTACATTCCCCCCACGGGCGGGTAATGCCCCGGACAACCGCTCACGAGTCAATTAGTGTCACACAGGGGCGGGACACTCGTCGCGACGATAATGCTGTGACATACGCAGAATGACATCAGCCTGCCCCCGCCCGGCTGCCCTCAACTGACCCATCAACCACGCAGACAGGCAGCCGTGTTTTGTTAGCACTCCTGCGCGTGGCTCTTTCGTCAACGTTGTTGTTGTACTGTGTAGATGATCGGGCGTTAAATCGGCAAGTGTGATGTTCGGTGATATTAAAGGATGTCGTAGGGCCTACGCCGCGTTATTGAATATAGTCACCGTATAGTCGGCCGGCAATGAACTACGGCCACACACGCGTATACGGAGAGGAGGATGGAAACTAAGAGAGCGCAAGTGAGAGAAGGCCAGTGAGAGCGAACGATCGACAGTAACACAGGCAGATAGACAGACAGGCAGGCAGGCAGACAGGCAACCAAGCAGGCAGGAACTATTACTTTCCCACGGAGCGAATAAAACGCCATCAGAACGAATTAGAAATCTCTCCCTCGTTCACTCGTCATAACTGCACGGGTAGCTAGCAGAGTGCTAGCGGTGTGTCCCTCGATACCTTCCCTCGATACACCGCAACAGATCTGAGGTAGTTTGGTACATTTTAATATTAGTTAGCAAGCAAGACGCACTCACGATATGCTAATAAAACTAGAGTAAAATGTGACTTGGGAGAACTCACCTGCTCGCAGGCATGCTTGCACCAGGATGGCGCCACGACTGTCTTGCAACACAATGGCGCTGAAACAAACATGAAAAGCTCATTTCAATGCATATTCACGATCTATTTTGGCCAGCGCTCAATTAGACATTATCAAAGCTCTATTGATTGTCACGTGCGCATTCCAGCGACCGCTGGACGCACGCGAAACGGAACTGGAAATTATCTCAAATGATTCGTGAATAACGAACGACGAGCACACTGTGTACAATTAAATCACAATTACGATCGATGCAACATTAAAACGTCAAATAGTAAGGCATAGTTATTATTATTATTATTATTACTAGCTGAAACCCGCGCTACGCGCTGGCTTAGTGACTGTGATGCATGTGTTACCAGTGCATGTGTGTTATGTGTAAGGTGTTATATGGAGAATTACCGTAATATTACGTGCTTGTGATCGGACCGCTTGTGACAGATCGGTGTGCACGGCAACCGTACACTGTACAGCATTGCAGACTTCGAAATTTTTTTATTCCTA